ATGTGCTTGTTGGCCATCTGAATGTCTTCTTTGGTGAAGTGTCTGTTCATATCCTGTGCCCATTTTTCTATTGGATTATTTACCTTTATCTTGTTGTGGTCCTCAAGTATTTTATAAGTTCTAGATATAAATCCCTTATCTGACATGTCATTACCAAATACTTTTTCCCAGTTTGTGGCTTCCCTTTTTACCCTGTTTGAGAAGTTTTTGGGTGTGCATAGGGATTTAATTCTTAGACGGTCCCATTCATCTTATTTTATCTTCTCCTGGTTGTAGAACATGTAGAATTTTTTAAGATAAAGACTTTGCAAGAGAACAAGTACAAAGGGAGTAATTGGAAATAATAAAGTGGTAAGACAGTAAAGAAATGAGAAAGGATCATAAGAAATTTGTTGGGATTAGTCATGGGTGCAGACAAATGAGATTAGGATACTTTGGCAATGAGAAAGCTTTTCACTTTGAAAGTAGACAAAACAACTATGAGATATCATAGTTGGGGAGGATGGGCGGGGAGAGCAGTGCAGTAGTGAATGAATGGAAATCCAAAATCTCTGTAAATGCTCATTAAAATTATTTTTAAAAAAAAGCTTAAGAAGAAAAAAAAAGTAGACAAACAAGTAGCAATAGGAGAGTAGTCATGATTTTTAAGGTATCAAGTCACCTCTTAATATGGAAGAAAATAGAATGAAATTAGAGACCTGAGAAAAGGAAGTAGTTGAGGTTAGAATTAAATAGGACTTTCATGTTAGGCCAAAGATCACATTTGTTGTGTACCATCAAGTCAGAACTACTAGCCCATAGCTGAATCTCCAGCAGGTTTTCAGAGACAGTTGATCGCATGGGAGGAGTCTTCCACTCAGACTTTCATGTTATAAAAGTAAATGTGACTATTATTGAGACACATAGAACATCCAGTTGATGACAATGTTGTAGTGAAAATTTATATATTATTCAGAAATTAATTCATAAAATCTGTGTGCTTTGTTGTTTTGGGTTTCTGTGATTGGAATGTGGAAGCTGGAAACCGTGAAAGAAGTGTGGCCATCTGAAAGTATGGTCTTGTTAACAGAAATGAAACTCTTCTTTGGTGCTGTCTAGTCAAAAGTATGACTCAGTAGTGACCCTGTGAACAAAAGATCGAATTCTGTTCTGTCCTGTGCCATACTCACACCTCCTGACACATAAGAGCCCATGGCTGCACTTGCCATATCTGTTCACCTGACTGGAGGTCTTCCTCTCCTCCTGCCCGCCACTTTTCCCAGCAACATGCCCAAAGTATGTGAGGTGAACCCTCATCATTCTTGTATCCAACAAGCACTCTGATTACACTCTCTCTAAGACATGTTTATTTGTTCTTTGGCTTTCCATGGGGTGTTCAGTGGTTTTCTCCACCACCACAGCTCAAAGGCTTCTCTATCATCCTTATTCATTGTCCAGGTCTCAGATGCATAGCAAGTGATTGGAAAGACTGGCCTGAATCAGATGCACCTTAGTTCTCAAGCTGACATCCGTCCTCCTCAGTAATTTGGAGAGGTCCCTAACTGCAGATTTTCCCAGTGCATGTATCTCCTTAACTCCCAGCTGCTGGCACTAAGGGTGTTAATTGTGGATCCAAGCAAGATGACGTTATTGATAGTTTCAGTCTCTTCTCCATCCATCATGATGTTGCCTAGTGGTAAGACTCTCTGTTTTCTTGACATTGAGATGCAATCCATACTGAGGGTGGCAATCCTTGATCTTCTGCAAGAAGTCCTTCTCATATTTTATTTAAAAGTCAGTTTGGATCCTCTTGTGTGAAGCAGTTGGATCCAGGAGGATAGGTTATTTTGATTTAATTGAAAGTCGAATGTAAACTGTTCTGTTGTTTTTCATTTCATTTACAATCAAGTGTAAGCAGATTGATTGTTTGGATTTAGTTAACAATCAGCTGTGGGGAAGCTTCTTGTTTAAATCAATCTTGAAATGAAACAAATTGCATTTTTTGCATTCATTGATTTATTCATTGCAAATACCTTTTTAAAAATACCTGTACAAAAGGTGACTTTACCCTTAGACCTCACCTGATACTACTGATTATGTATGTCAGTTGAAAGAATCGGTACACGCACACAAAAAAAAAAGAAAGAAAGAAAGAATCGTTGAGGAATTCGAATATCAACAGTACCAGTTGTTGTGAAATAGATCATCAGTTACTCATGTGAAAGTTCAAATTGAAGCTGAAGAAAATTTAAGTATGTCCACAAGAACCAATGTAGAACCTTAAGTCAATCCCAACTGAATGTAAGAAAAAACAAAACAGGTGTAAGGCATTGAATTCAAGTGATTGAAGGCCAGAGGAGTTGTGAGGTGGCATCAAGGCTATCATCTACAAAGAGAGCAAAAAGGTCATTACAGTGACAGAAAAAAGAAATAAACCAAAACAGAGGTCAGAAAAAACTATGGAAATTATGTTAGAATGTTTTCTGAAGCCAAAATAAGGGGAAGAAATCCCAAAGTAAAAGAGTACTTTTTTTTTCTTCTAGTACAGAATTTTTCTTTTATATTGATTTGCTTACAAAGTTTTTATGCTGCACACCCATGTTTATTGGAGCTTTGTTCACAATAGCAAGGAGTTGGAAACAACCTAAGTGCCCATCAACAAACGAATGGATAGAGAAGCTGTGGTATATTCACACAATGGAATACTAT